GGAAAACTGGCAGAAGCCAGCAAAGGGTAAGAATTCTTACCAAAGTCACCTCTCTCGGATCTCTGTCTATGGGGCCCAGTAGAGAGAGGAAGGGGAAATTTCACCTTATTCTTTCCAAATTTAGATTCACAGAAGAAAATATTTGTGTGAATTAGTTCCTTGAGCATAAAGACTGGTAAAGATTTTGTTATAAGCACTCTTGTTTTCTGTTGATCCTTTCCCTTCCATAGATGGTCACTGTCTTATGTTGTCTCTGTCTTTTGTGTCATTTGGCATAAGGAGGAGAACCATAGGTCAGATAAGGTTTTCCTTTCATCTTGTTCTTTGTCTTGAGAGCTTGGCTTTTTGACTAGTAAGAAAACTCTCTCTAGTCATCACCAGCTGGAAGGTGCTAGTATCAGCCTGTATCCGGCAGCCACTATAGGACGGCAACGCGAAACACATTCTCTTTGTCCCACTGTGCCAGCTCTCGGGGGAGTTTGTCTTAAGGGGTCCTAGTCCATAAGGGGCCTTTGGCGTCTCAACCTCTGTTGCCTTGTTAGTGGTGGAAGAGCCCCATTCCAGTAGTGTCTTGCCTGGTATTACAGATTAGCAGGTTGGTGACTGGAGGTGTTTCACGTTCTCACAGAAAACGTGAGAGATTGTTTTCAGTACACCATTCCTACCACCTGGGACAAAGAAGGTCTTTGCTTTCTTAGGCTAACCCTGGGAGTGAACTTTCTTGACATTATGAGGGTCAGGCTTTTGCACTGTCCTAGGGGACACCTCTTGCATCCACGGTTAAGCCATAAAAAGCCATATTGGTTTGAGTTGCTATTGAGATTAATATGCCATTGAAGATCCTACTCATCAATGGCAAGATGATGGATCTTTTGAACTGGAAAAACTTTTATAAAATTGGAAAAAAATTTTCCAATTGGAAACTTATAAAATTGGAAAAAAATTCTCATTCCAAGGAATTGTCTTATTAGTACCTATGGAAAGATCAAATTGAAAAGAGGACACAAAGGAGTATGGTGCCTAGCCTTAGGGACTCTTTTAACAAGGTAAAATTACAGAGCCCCCTTTGCCTGCACTTTCAGAAGATCCTACCAGATTTAGAGAAGAGTTAGAAAGATCAGTGGCCATTCACAACCTCACTCACAAGGACCTTGACTGGATGCTCTGGGGTATTCTTCCCACCCATAATTATACTGCAGTTATCAGAGAAGCCAGACAGCCCCCTAGTGGACCCCCACACCCCACCCCACCCCCAACCAAGGAAACAGATGACCAGAATTTCTCCCAGGCTCTCCTGCAAATGATCAGGAAATGGATCAGTGGAGGTTAGTGTTCAGAGGATGACAGAAGCAAGAGTGAACTGGTCCGAGGTTGAATTGTACACTCAAGGAGAGTATTCGAAGGCCTTTGCTGAATGCTTTATACAGACTTTACAAAGGTAAATTGTACCAAACCCTAAAGCTCCAGAATGGAAATCTTCTCCTTTGGTAAAAATGTGGCTGATTGTAGAGAGAAAAATGATGCTTCCGTAAATAATATACCCTTGTAGATATCAGGTTCTAGTCCTGTTAACTGTCTGAAGTTTCATTATTTTCCTGTAAACTGGACTAGATCCTACTTTCCTCAAATAATCTGGCTATATCTCTTCAAACTAACGTTTCCAATTTTCTTCCACTCTTTTGACTTGGAATCACTAAGAACAAATTGTATGAAGTTCCTAGAGATCTGGTATGTCCTGATATAATATTATCACTTGTAATTCTAGTTATTGTCTTAAAATGTATGTCACAGACATAACCATATTTCCTTGTCAATTGCTTTATAACAAAGGCTTATTATATCTTTAACCATGGCTGTTTTTAAGTCTTTTGTCATTTATGAAAGTTATTGTTGTGCTTTTGCAAAAGTTATTTCCCAAAGCCCTGCAAACTGAATGTGAATGGATTGACATAAAGTTCAGAGAAATGACTCCAGCGGCTCACGTTTAGATCATCTTTGTGCCTGTTGCTGTGCGGACCACTCAGGAAGTTTATCTGAACATCCGATGACATCAGACAAATTCAAATTGCAGAAGATGCTTCAACCCCAACATCTAGAAATCTGACTGGCAGCCTTCGGGACTCAGGCTGAGTTTATAATTTGACCCAACCACTAACTTTTGTTTTTCTCTTGTTTCCATAGACATGCCTCTTATTAAATACCCAATTGCTCGCACCATATAAGGCTAACTTCGGGACCCCACCTGCAACACCAGCTCCTGAAATGAGACACAACTGTTTAACTGAGCTGACCTGTCCTCGAGATTAAGAGGTTGGTTCAATGAAATAATAGAGCACTCTATCAACCTAGCTTCTAGACTGTGAAACTTCATTGAACTTTTTTTAAATTTTTATTTATTTATTATTTATTTATTTACTTTGGCTGTGCCGGGCCTTCGTTGTGGCATGTGGACTTCTTAGTTGCGGCATGCATGTGGGATCTAGTTCCCCGACCAGGGACTGAACCTTGGCCCCCTGCATTGGGACGGTGCAGCATGGGGGATCTTCGTTGTGGCATGCAGGATCTTTAGTTGCAGCATGTGGGCTTCTTAGTTGTGGTATGTGGACTTCATAGTTGTGGCATGCATGCAGGATCTAGCTCCCCGACCAGGAATTGAACCTGGACCCTCTGCATTGGGAGCATGGAGTCTTACCCACTGGACCACCAGGGAAGTTCCTCATTGAACTTTCAAAGGCAGGACTGAAGCGGAACAGAATATGCCACCCCAAAATTTGCTTCTTCAGTATAAGGATTACTTTGAGCTGACTATTGTTAGTTAGTTTAGTTGTTAGATTCTTTTCCCAAATAGGCCATTACAGAGTATTGAGTAGAGTTCCCTGTGCTACAGAGTAGGTTCCTATTAGTTATCTATTTTATATATAGTACTGTATATGTGTCAATGCCAATCTCCCAATTTAATCCCTCCCCGCTACTTGGTAACCATAAGTTTGTTTTCTACGTCTGTGAGTCTCTTTCTGTTTTGTAAATAAGTTCATTTGTACCATTTTTTTAGATTCCACATATAAGCGATATTATATATTTGTCTTTCTCTTTCTGACTTCACTTAGTATGACAATCTCTAGGTCCATCCATGTTACTGCAAATGGCATTATTTCATTCTTTTTAATGGCTGAGTAATATTGCATTGTATATATGTACCACATCTTCTTTATCCATTCCTCTGTCGATGGACATTTAGGTTGCTTCCATGACCTGGCTATTGTAAATAGTGCTGCAGTGAACATTGGGGTGCATGTGTCTTTTTGAATTATGGTTTTCTCTGGGTATATGCCCGGGAATGGGATTGCTGGGTCATATGGTAACTATTTTTAGTTTTCTAAGGACTCTCCATACTGTTCTCCATAGTGGCTGTACCAATTTACATTCCCACCAACAGTGCAAGAGGGTGCCCTTTTCTCCACACCCTCTCCAGCATTTATTGTTTGTAGATTTTTTGATGATGGCCATTCTGACTGGTGTGAAGTGATACCTCACTGTAGTTTTGATTTAGCATCTGTTCATGTGCTTTTTGGTGATTATTTTTAAGAAACAACAGACACAGGAAAAGCTCTGAAAACCTACTGTAAGGGAAACTTACATTTATAAGGGAACTCTCCATTTTAAGCGTGTCTCCCTCTCTGTACCTAGAAGAGAAGGGTGACTCTAAATGACAAGAAACTCTTTATCAATGGAGAAGGTGCCCAACTTAATTCTAAAACAACCTTACCCTTTTGTACTGTGCTTTACCTGTTAACCTCCCATAACTGACCTTCCCTCCTCCTCCATCTTTCTTGTGTCTTTAGCTGAAGAAGGTAATTAAGGTGATGGCTTGGGCCATTTCAGGGGAGTTAAACTCAGTATTCCAGGGTAGCTCCCATGTATACAGGAGGTATAAATGGAGTTAGACTTCTGTTACTTTTGTCCTGTTAATCTTGTATTACAGGGGTGAGGTCTCAGCCGAGAACCTAGAAGGGTGGAGGTAAAATTATTTTTCCTCCCCTCTAAGGACATTTAGAAAGTTTCTGAGTTATTAACTATCAAAGTCACAGCATTCTTCTTTTTAGGAGCATAGCTATCAATCAGTCAACCATGAGCTCAAGGAAACACAACATAATCCAATGCTAATGGAAAAATGGTATATTCTTAGCTGCCTCAGAATGGCACAGCATACATGGTTCAAACAGCAAATCTGTGGTGGCCATCAGACCTTTGGCAGGGCTTACATTACATTTGTTAAACAGGTTGGGTTTTTTAACTTATTTCATAAGTTTATAAGACCTGCTCATTTACACTGGAATACACACACACACACACACACACACACATTTTTCACCAATACAACATATATACTATCTAGAGCCCATTTATCTTCTTACGTCAACTTTGGTTCCATAGTGATCAAATTGTGGCAAAACTAAATTAGAGGTACTGATGCTGTCATTAATTTGACTTAGAAAGTTAACACAAAGAAGAACCGACTGTTTTTTAAAAAAAAGTCTCTGGTTGCATGTTAAAGGTATACTTCAGCATGAAGAGAGAAAAACAAACACTCAGTTACAAGATTTAGTTAAAAAACGGATAGTCCTAGAGGTCTCAAAGCATGACCTATAAATTGAGTCCTCTGTTACGTGATTTTTCTTTTAACGGCTATTCTTACACACACTTCAATTAAAAAAAAACAAAATCGTAAATCACAGTGGTTCTTAAAAATTCTATAAAGTATCAAATTCAAAAATTACACAAAAATCTTACAGCCTGGGCTTCCCTGGTGGCGCAGTGGTTGAGAGCCCGCCTGCCGATGCAGGGGACGCGGGTTCGTGCCCCGGTCCGGGAAGATCCCACGTGCCGCGGAGCGGCTGGGCCCGTGAGCCATGGCCGCTGGGCCTGCGCGTCCGGAGCCTGTGCTCCGCAACGGGAGAGGCCACAGCAGTGAGAGGCCCACGTACTGCAAAAAAAAAAAAAAAATCTTACAGCCTAAAGTCAAGAAAAGAAATGTAAAAACAATTTGGGAATAAAGACTTTGAAAAAGTTTTGCTAAACTCAAATATCTTACAAGCTCCATCACCCATCCCCATCCCTGTGGCCTGCATGATGGACTTGGTGCCACCTCTGGGCTGGGCCGGGTGATGTCAGAAGCACTTACAAATAAAAACACGAGGAGCTTGCAAATCCGGTTTGCTGGCCTGGGTAAGGAGTGGGCAGCAGCTTTCAAACTAGGTTGAATTCCCTCAGGTTTAGTTGTAGAATTGTGTCTTTCACAGCAGCAAACACAAAGCGGATATTCTCTGTGTCTGTAGCGCATGTGAAGTGGGAATAGATGACTTTCTCTTTGTCGGGATTCTGATCTTGATAGAGCTTCAGGATAAAGTCTCTGGCAGCTTTGACATCTTGCTTTGGTCCTAGTCATGAGGGCAGTTAGTTAGAGGAATAAAAAAGAAAGATCCCAACTCACCACCAGGTCCTCCCAAAATCATTTTCCATGCACTCTTGTTCTTATTTGGAATCCTCCTTTGAGCCATCTTATCTCTAGAGACTCACTTTACCTGGGACACTATTTTTATTATACCTTATTATGAACCTGCAAAAGAGTATTTTAAAGTGTCCCCTGGTATCTAAAAATCATACTTTAAGGAGATTTGTTGAAAAATGACCTAATTTAATTCTCTGATTTGGACCACTTTTGAAGAGGTAATTCTTAAGTGAACTAGGAAAGCAAAGAGAAAGAATATGGGGACTAACATAACTAGTCACCCAAGTCTGACTCTAAAGCTTGAGAGCTGTATACTACATGGCAACATGGTGAATAAAGGGAAAAAAGAGAGTACTTAAACACTACTCCTCTAAATATCAATGTCAAACTTGGTAACGTTTCTACACCAGAAATAATTAGCAATAGGGCATAAAGTCTCCTGCCTTGGACAGGTCATATAGATACCTTCAGCGTCTACCCTGTGTCTGGTAAAGGGCTGCCACACTTCACCTTACACATCAGAAGTGCCAGGTGCTCTGACTGGCCCTGGAAGTGCAAAGGTGAGTCAGGCACAGTCTCTGCCCTCAGGATCTGACTGGGGTGACAGCTGAAGGCCTAGATGGAGCAAGGCAAGCCCAGGCCCCCACGGGAGCATGAGGTGGGTGGACTTCCCAAAGGGGGAAGTGCCTGAGCTGTGTCTCAGAGAACAAAGTGGAGTTAGCAAAGGAGCTGGCAGCGTATTCCAGGCATTGGGAGAGGCGTGTGCGGAGGTGCCGAGGTGAAACCACACAGTGATTCAACTGGAGCTTCCATTCAGAGGTGGGGAATGGTGAGAAAGTCCATTAGAGGCAGATCAGGGAGGCCCCTACGAGCCATGCTGAGAACTCTGAACTGATGCCAGGGAGGCCAGGTAAGCAAGATGCACACTTACTTACCGGTGTATTCTGGAAAATAGCTAATTAGATGAGAGTACATGATTTTCTCTTCCAAAAGATCCTTCTTGTTTAAAAACAAAATCACCGATGAGTTCAGAAACCAGGGGTAGGTGATGATGGTTTTAAATAAGGCTTTGCTTTCTTCCATGCGGTTCTAAGTGAAAAACAAGAGACTTAGGATAAATTAGAAAGAAAAGCAACGCTTTGGGAACACCATACCAAATCACTGGCTCCACCCATCTGTCCTCCTCTTACCCAGCTGCCGTCTCCAGGTCGCTGTCCTTGCTGAGGCTGCTGAGCAAGTGCGGTCTCCGGCCGCTATTTCCCTGGTCCCCACCCTCTCATTAATCACCCCCTTCCGGATCTCCTCTCCTGTAGCACCCAAACTCTTCTCTGACCCCACAACACATAAGGATATAAGAAAGGCTTCTGTGCAACTTGGAAAAAGAAGGTTCAAACCCATAGTTGACGGAAGTTTTCTGTGTATAACTACTGGGATTACCAAGTGGGGGCAGTTCAGAGCTGCAGACCGACCTGAGACACACTTTAATTGGGTGTGGGCTTCCAGGCTGGGTGTCAGGAGGCCGGTGACAATGAGGGGACGGAAGGCTCTTCTGGCAGGGCCACCGCCCTTAGGAATGCTGGACGCTGGCAGAGAAGGGAACTAACGCTCCTGAGCACCTGCCCTGCACCATGCTTGACACGTGTGTAACACAAGCGAGCTCTCCAAGGGGAACGGGTCCCCATTTTATAGGTGAGCATACTATTGTTCACAAAATTTACGTACTTTTCCAAGACTGTATAATAGTACAATCTAGTGGAAACTTTGTAGAAGGACAGTAATCATTTCTGGCCATTAGACACTGGCAAGAAAATATTAAATGATCCTAATTTATGGTGAGCAGACAGGGCACATACAAATCTTATCTGGTGACAAATAATTGTTCTAGCTAGCATTCCGCTCTCAAGTATTTCTAAGAGGAAAGAAACACTTTCCTTCCTTCCTTTAGACTGAGAAACAGGAAAGCCCAGTGCACCGGCTCCAGAGGGACACGCCCTAAATTTTCTATTCCTACAACTCCCAACTCCTGGGTCCATTATCCTACTCAGTATGTTTCTGGAGATCAGTTCTGGAATTTACTACCAGAAAGGTAACATCTCACTTGTTTTTAAAGCTTCTTTAAAATTTATTATAATCTTATCAATAATAATCTCCAAGGAAATACAACATATGAAAAAACAATTCCTATACGGCATAGTGCGTGGATACAACACACATCTACAGCTAGGATGGAAGAGTCTGGAGTGGCAACCTAGGATTTTTTTCCCCAGATACCTAGGATTTTTCAGAGAGGAGAAAATACTTAATTTCTAGGCACATCAGGGTAAGGTACTTACCCCTGGTGCACCTGACTAATCCTTTGAGTTTCCCGAGAAATATCCTAGGTAATTCCTGAGACAAATTTGGAGCTAATTTTTCATATTGGTAACTCAATACCTTCGCTTTTTAAAAAAAATATCTCCACTGGAAGAGCTGGGCAGCCGCCAAGATTTCCATTCTTCTTTGCACAGTGACACTAGTAAATGGACTAATCCTCCACTAATAAGCTAATGTAACTGTGCTCCTCAGAGAAATGTCTGCTCTCAAGAAATACCACGTAGAATTTGTTCATAATTATTGCCTAATCCTGGAAAGAATTCTTTATTGATTTACTTTCATGCCCTACAAGCAAGAGATATTTCTGTTGTAAAAGGTCAAGAGGTCTTGTGCAAAGGGTCGGGGAAAAGACAATGGTTATCACACAGAAAATACCCCCAACCTCACAAAGAAGTGACTGCGATGGTTCCCCTCACTTTCCAGGCAGATCCAGCTAACGGAGTTCCCCCAGCCAGCGTCATGGCCACTCTGCAGAGGACACTGAATGCCTGACTGGGGTGGATCAGTCCCAGCTGCCCTGAGCAAGTCCCTTCCAGGGAAAGCAAAGGGCAGATGCTATCCCAGGTGGGTCCAAGACAGCTCCAAGCATATGGCAACACTCCCCATGCCAACTCAGCTAGGGACCTAATTTGGGAGTGCCATGGGAAGCCTGTTCTCAGACGAAGTTTATTAGAAATAGTGTTGTTCAACTTTGGCTGTATATTAACATCCCCAGAGGGCTTAGTGAAGATGCCCCCAACTCAAAACCAGGAAATAGGAATCTCTACTGTAGGGTCCTAAAAATTTTTTTTTTTTTTTTTTTTTTTTTTTTTAAAATATGCAGCCAAGGCTGAGACCCATGGTTTTGAGTGGCTCTACCCTTTGTAGTGCATTAGATTAGATCCCCAAGCTCAGGCCACACACAGCACCAATTAAATTAATCTCTGGGGTTGGCCCCAGCCGCCAGGTTTTTCGTTAAGGTCCCTTGGGGATTTTAGTGTACACCTAAGTTTAAGAACCAGGATTCTAGGTTGGTTAGTGATTCTCAAATTACCTGGGATCTTAAACATCCTGATTTATTCGGTCTGGGTTGATTCAGAAGGTGTGCATTTCTAACAAGCACCCAGGTTATGCCTGTGCTGTTAGCCCACAGACTTCACTTTGCAGAGCGAGGCGACTTAACCTAAGGGATAGGGTCTAATGCCAGAGCTGGCTGGCTTCTTGCAAACTGCAGAAATAGGTTTCTGTCTTCCGCAGCTAACTGAATTCCTCACCCAGCATACCTCATTGTCACACTCAGCCAGGACCTGGTCGTATTCACTCAGAGCAACCAAAAAAATAATGGAGGTGACACTCTCAAAGCAGTGAATCCATTTCCGTCTTTCAGATCGTTGGCCACCAACATCCACCATCCTGTTCAACAGAAACATATGACTCTTTGGGGGAAAAAGGACATGGAAATCACACTCTTTAGGGTCCTCAGTAATTTTTAAGAATAAAAAGGGATCCTAAGATTAAAATGTTTGAGCACTGCTACTCCAGGCAATGAGGAACCACTGGATGTTTCCTAGCAAAGGAGGCACAGAATGTAAATGAAGTTACTAAAGATGTGTGCCGAGGTCACTCAGGTGGAGCCTGCTTGGAGACACTGGTTAGGAAGCTGCTGCAATATTCCAGGCAGAAAGCTCAAGCATCCACTTGGGCATTGCCCTAACCACCAGAGAGTGCCAGGACACCAGACACAAAAGAGTAGAAAGGCAGGCAGGCAGGCTTCAGGACCACTGGGCTTCCTTCCAGCCCTCCCCCTTCTTGTTTCACTGGCTCCTCCAGTTAATCTACAAATCCTTTCTGCGTTAGCTGGATGCCACCAGTTTATGGAAATGAGTCCAAGGGGCCTCTCTAGAGTAGAAAAGCATGTACTTCAAGAGTGCTGGGCCCTGTCTAAAGGGATGTGGCTGCTACACCACTGCAGCAACTGCAGCCGGACAGAGACGCAGCCTCGCTATTGGACCAGATCCTCCAACTTTTCAAGAGAAACTAGCCCCCAACTTACCAAGAGATAGCAAATGTTTTAAGCAAAATAGCCCAATCTTTATAAATATTGGCTCAAAAATGTTTTTAAACGTCAAGTGGGCTAAAGAGAATACATCTGTGGACCAGAGTCAGGTTTTGGAAGTTGCAAGCAGCAGTTGATTCTGAAAAGGTTTGGATAAATTTATGGGCACACAGGCATAGGGCATGTGCTTGCAGAGATGCAGAATATCAAGGGGCTCAATCAGAGGGCTCCCCCGACATGACAGTGCTCCAGGAGCACTGAGATGCAGGTGGGGTACAGACAGGACCTGGACACGGCAGGACTGTACTTATGCTGTCTCAACTAGACAAGCGTGTGTAACAATTATTAGGAGGAACAAGGGAACTAACAGATATAAAAGTCCTTTGAAATCTGCAGTGATAAATCTTGGAGAAGAGAATAGAAGGGAAGAGAAATATTTAACAGTATCTTCAGTCTGTGGGTTACAGAAATATACATGTGTGTGTGTGTGTGTGTGTGTGTGTGTGTGTGTGTGTGTGTGTGTGTGTGTGTGTGTTTTACACATAAGAATCATTCCAGACATCAGTAGGGAGTCTCTTCTTCTCTAAGGGGAATAGAAAGGTGGTTTTCTCTCCACTGTAGGACTTAAGACCAACCACAATTCTAAATACCCTGTGATGGAGAGGGCCAATATTGCCCTAAGAGATGGAAGCCCTTTTAGCAATAGCACATTTAAGACTCCATTTGGGGACTTCCAAGCCTGGACAGATTCCTAACAGACTATTTCAGGGTGACAGACTTACCGAAAGATGATGTTTTCCAAATCAAATGGGTACTCAATGATGCCGGTTGTGGGTACTCGGACACGAAGCACGTCTTGCTGCGTTGGCACGAACGATGGCATGGCGATCCGGTCAATGTCAGTCAGGTAGCTGATGTTAGAGAACAAGATGCTGAGAAGGGAGAAATGCCCCTCCAGGGAAGTCACCCCAACTCACAGTGACCCTACTCAGATTCACGGATTCATCAGTGACTTTCATGAGAGCCAACACTCCAGCCCTCCTACAACTGTGTGGAGAGAATATGGATCAGAAGAAGCCTTCGTGAGCCTTCTGGGAAATGTGCAGATCTCGCCTCTCTTCCTGCTGGTTCTCAGCTCCATCACTCTGGCCAGTGAGGGAGCCAGCGGGGCCACAGGAGGAGGAGGTTGGAACAGGCCCTCAGGCGTCTCACGTATCCTCCTCTCCCCAAAGGTCCTTCTCCCTCCCACATGCCCTTATCCAAGAACATTCCAGAATGTAGATGCTGTTCTTGGATACTTGGCTCAATGAGTTAGTCCAATGGGAAGTCCTCTCAAAATGAGAAAAATTTCCTTGTTACACTGGGAAACTGAACACCTAAAATAACCCAAAGCTTGTCTTGGATTATTTTTGGCCAAATATCAAAGTCCTAAGCATAAGACGTGTCACTTTTTCTGTGGTAAAACAAGAGGACACTACTTTTTTTTTTAATCTTAAGGCCTTTTAAAGAGGCACTTTTGCGTAAATAGCTGAGGCCCTGGCCAATGACGGCGTTGGTGACTTGGAGCCCCCTGCGAAGAGAGGTGGCCCCGCCTTCTCCCCCCTAACCCCCTCCACCCCTCACCTACCCCCTTACAAGCAGAGCTCACCTAGGTCTGCTGGCGTTGAACCATGTGGCCTCAAGGGGAGCCAAGAGGTAACAGGCAAACCCTATTCCTGTGCAGCTCTCAGCGCAGGAAGCAAACCACTGGGTCAGCCGTCTGTGACCCACACCCCCATGCATGGCCCCAGGGCTTATCGTCATGGACTTCCGTTTGTGATATTTTGATTTACACCTGTCTCGTTCCACCAGACTGTATGTTCCTTCAGGGCAGAGAGCACCAGTTGTACCTGTAGCTCTTACCTCAGTGCCTGGCACACAGCAGACACACATCACATTTTTGTGAAATGAATGCCTGTCCAAACAAGCAGACAGTACCAGCAGAGTGGATGACAAGCACTGACCTGGACCAAGGAAGTGTCCAAGTGCCTGGGGTCTCGCCAGTTCCAAAGGCAGGGCACCGTCCAGGTCTGTGAGTGCCGTTTTCTCTGTCGTTGCAGCTCTGTCCACCACCCTAGCCACTCCCCACATTCCTCTCAGTGGACTTGCCCCAGTTTTCAGGGCTCCACTGAGCTCTACAGCAGGCCCGGTGGCTCTTTTCCGAGTTGATCTACATCAAGAGCCCCAGCCACTCCCCAGGGCCTTCACAGAAGCAAATGACACAGGCTGTCCCAGGGAAGGGCCAGGGATGCCTTGGCTGACTTGGAACCGTCCCTGGCTCCCCAGATGTCAAAGGCAGTCTGCCCTCCTCCTGGGGACACGGCCTTCCTTCCTGCGAGCTGTCTTCTATGCTGATCCAACAACGTATCAAGGCTTATTTTACTTCCTTTTCCTCCTTTGCTGCTGTGTTGGACCTAAATGTTCCTGTACTCAGATTGGTTGTGCTAACCAGGATTAATGTCACTCAACACTCAGCCTGGGACAAATGCCAAAGGGAGGCTAGTGAAACTGAGGAGGTAAGATTCTGGTTTCCTTTCCTGCCCGCTGGCTTGTCCAGATGATGGGTGAATTACCCACCCACACCAGCTTGAAGGGCAATGCCAGCACCTGAAGAGAAAGGGATGGGTCTGGGGAAGGGATTCCAGGGCCTTCTGAGGGCAGAAATGACACAGGGCAAGAGGGAAGGAGCTGAGTTGCAGAAGCAGGAATCCTCACCCCTTCAAGAAGGACCATGACAACTATTTGCCCAGTGATCTGGCTGATGGAGGCACTGCCTTGGGAACTTCTTAATAAAAGCAAACCCTGTGATCTCCGTCGGAGAGTGTGCACGCAATGGATTACTGATTTAAAACTAGAGCCTTATGGATCCCAAATATAATGCGTAGGCAAACAAAGGGCTCCCGGACTGAGCTTTCTCCATGGCTGGGCCCGCAGAGCCTATCTCGCCCACCAGAGGGCAGCACCAGATCAGCCACTGACGGGTGTATTGCACTGCGCTTCTAAACTCTGATTTTAGATTTTAGGGCAACTGGACCTGCTGTCCACTGATCAGGAACTCAGAAGGCAGAGGGATATGGAGAGGGGAAAGTAGAAGCCAGAAGCAGATGTAGTCCTGGTTTAAATCAGATAGTTTCAGCGCCCCAATGAGATTAGTCCCACCAAGGGAAGCCCACATTCATTGAAAAGGACAGAGGCTTAGAACTTGACGAGGAAAGGTACATATGGGCAGGGAGAGCTATCTGGGGCTCCACAGGGGGACTGAAGATTTCAGGAGGTGGGAAGAGAGGCACCTGAAAGTAAGAGTGGGATACAGACGAGCAGAAGGGAGGTAGTGTGGCCCCCGGCTGCCTCATTTTAGCAAGTAGCTCATTTCTCCCCCCTTGAAGTATGGCCGTGCTTGCCTGAAAGCACCCTGGGTGGCCACAGCCTGGGGCTCTGTACTCACTATCTGGCAGAGTCTGACAGCTGGTATTCCCTCCTCCTGTCATAACATTCCTGGATTCCCGGGTCCTGCCAGAGCTGCTTGATGGCCTCCACCTGGTCCCTGGAGAGAGCGGAGACCTTGTCTACATCCACTTCTCTGATCAGCTGGGCATTTTCCTGCTCAAAGGAAAAGAGAACCTTTCATTAGGCAAAGGAAAGGAAGCCAGCATATTGATGACCTGGGGACAAGACCCGCCCTGGTCCGTGGATTAGGGAAGATGTCCCTAGATGCTAGGGTGTGGTGGGTGCTCTCCAGAAGAGCTGCTCACAGCCAAGCCACTCAGTTGCAGCCTCATTGGGTAGAGATGATGTGGCTGCTTAACTCAGTGGAGAGCGCCAGAGAAAGCCCAAGACCTGTGGCCTTTGGTCCCAGCAGTACCCCGGGGGCCAGTTTCACCAGCATTCAACACCCAGTTGTGAACAGAGAAACACGGGAACGATTGATCATCATTGATTATCATCGTACTAACAAACATTACTTCCTCATTAACGTGCAACTCATTTGAATACGTGCATAGCCAATGGAACAATTTAAAAGTAACATTATTGTTAGTGGCATACCAAGGGTGGGGTAAGCGGGTCCACCCCAGTGCAGGAAATAAAGGAGTGCGTCATCTTCAGAGCATTGAAAACTAACACCACCAACAATCATCAGTCGGCTTTCTTTCTCTTCCCTTTATTTTTTAAAAGATGTTTCAATAGACTTTACTTTTTAGAGCAGTTTTAAGTTCAGAGCAAAACAGAGAGGAAAGTACAGAGAGTTCTCATACAGTCTGCTTTTTATTATCAGCATCACTAATAAAACTCTTTCC